GGGCTTGAAGTAGCCGGTTGTAGCGGCTTTACTGTAAATGACCGCGGGTAACCCCGGATCGAACGCCCGCTCTATTCGAATGACGTCATATCGAACAAGATTCGCGGGTTCGGGGGATTCGATTTCCATAGTAGCGGATTGGGACTTTTGCAGGCCCAAATCTGACCATCGTGAAAGAAAACTCCTATATCCTATACTTAACCAACCTGATAAAACTATTTTCGGATGTTTTGCAGGCCGTGGCCTCGGTCCTGGCAATCATTGCCGTGTTGGGGATCGTGAATAACTCCACCACCCTGTACCTCGTGGGGCGGTACAGCCAGCTGCGAACACCCTTCAACATGCTGGTGGTCAACCTGACCGTCAGTGACCTGCTGGTGTGCGTCCTCGGCACGCCATTCAGCTTTGTCTCCAGTCTGAAGGGCCGCTGGATGTTCGGGCGTGCCGGCTGTGTGTGGTACGGATTCATCAACAGTCTGCTGGGTGAGACTGAACACTGTACAAAATCCATTCTTTTGTGCACACCTTATAGCATGCGTAAAGATTCCGCTTCTTCTCTCGTGTGTACACATACGCGTGTTTACGGTGTACTTAAACCCTATTCAGATGCCCCCCTCCCCTCCGAAAGTGGGCGCGGGCTTTTGAGGCCCGCGCCCACTTTCATATCGGATAACGCCTGAACGGCTTGCGCTAGAACCGTCAAATTGGGTGACTTTACCTAAAATACATCTGGCATCCTGATTTTTCGTGTTGCCATGGCAACGGGTACATGATATATCTGACGTATGTTTCATTGGTCTACCCCCAGGTATCGTGTCCCTGACCACCTTGACAGTCATCTCCTACGAGCGCCACCAGATGATGAAGCGGCCCCCAAACGCACCCAAGCTGTCCTACCGCTGGGTGGCGCTTTCCGTGCTGTTCGTCTGGGTCTACAGCCTGCTCTGGACGGTCCCGCCGTTGATGGGGTGGAGCAGCTACGGTCCCGAGTCTCACGGCGTGAGCTGCTCGGTCAACTGGGTGTCGCGCACCGCCAACGACACCTCCTACATCGTGGCGTTCTTCGTGGGCCGCCTGGCTGTTCCTGTCGCCGTCATAGTTGTCTCCTACACCCGTATGGT